AAACCATACATCAATGGAAAGCTTATTTATTCAGCGTTCAGATGATGCATACATCTCAATTTCAAAAAGTTGACCCTTATGACTGGTTTTGTGCTCCAGGGTCTCAAATATGTTTGATATCTAAATGTTTGGCTTAATCGGTTAGAATCGGAATCGAAATTGATCAAATTCAAACGATACCCAACCCTAGTCAGGAACGCGTCCGCTCAAGGGTTTCTCCATCCCAGTCTGCTCGAGGTATTTGCTCATCCGGGATCATCCAGAGAGGGATGTGTGTGTTAAGGCAGGTAAGGTGTGGAGGGCCGGGGCCGGGATTCAGTACGGTTGGCCCCAGTCTCCGGCGGGGCTCTTGGGCTTGGTTTGGTCCCAGAACAGAGCATCGCTGGGTCGAGGAGGGCTGGGGAAGGACCAGGAGCTGTCGTCCAGCGAGCTCATGCGCGGGGGGGGATTGAGCCGCACGCCAGGGCTGCCCAGCGGGGCCGGACGTGGGAGGGGCCAGGGGTCCTGGGGGCCGTCTGGGACCGAGGGCAGCGGAGGCGCGCTGGGGGGACGAGGGACACTGCTCTTCTGCACATCATCCAGGCACTGCACTGGAACAGTTGAAGCAGCTGAAACCGACAGCCTCTGGATTTATTACACACCTCAGAAACTCCCACAAACACACTACAGCTACAAAACATGCTGCCTACTGAGTGCACTCACAACAGCCTGACTGACGGATATGAAAACATGCAAAATAAAATGAGCGTTTTAGGTAGTAGTAGTATATCATCTAAAATAATAAATATATATACACACACACACACATAATCGTTTATTTTATATATGTTAAATATATCATTTGACTCACCTGGCTATAAGTTTGAACTCAAACCAGATCACCAGTGAGAGCAAGCACTATTTTTACCAGCACAGATGGCGAGTGCAGTAACATAAACAAGGCATGCATTAGTGCTCCTCGGGGACGCACGGATTCACACACATCACTAACTCTCTGCTTCTCATCTTAAGAAACAACGAGAGGCTCATTTGAAAACTGATTATGTTGCCGATCTCTCAGAGGAATATACAGGCTATATCTTAAAGAAAGCCCGCCGTCTCCGGATTCACTGAAATAAACATGGAGCTCTTCCTCATTTTTAACACTCATTCTAATTTGCACCTATTGCTTTTCCTCTGCGACACACAGGGAATACTGACAACCCCAGACAGACGAGAAGCGCACACACACTCACTCACTCACACACACACACACACATATATACACACTCACACACACACACACACACACACACACATATATACACACAGACACTCACACACACACAAACACACACACACATATATACACACACAC